GCGGAACGCCCTCGTGACTCCTCGCGACTTCTCGCGGAACGCCCTCGTGAACCTTCGCGATTTCTCGCGGGATTTCTCTGTGAGCCTGATTCTTCGCGTTCCATTCCATAACCGTTCGCTTTTGCAATCTCGGAAGCTAGCTTACGTGACTCATCTCGCTCCACGTTGCCTGTACAAACTCCAACCGCTGTTTTGTACATGTTTCGAACAACCGCACGTTTAACAGCACTAGGATGTGCAGACTTTGCATGAAGTAAGATGTTTTTCGAGCTGCTTTTCCGATACCACTTCACACTGTACATCCCGTTCGAGACTTTTATCTGTGTGTTCAAGAAAGGTAGCCAACCATTGTGTGGAGTTTCTCTTGTGAACTTTATGTACTGTGATTGTTGATTGAGTAAGCTGAATAATTCATCCATTTCGAGTTGTGTTGAAGTAATTACGCAGCAATCATCAATATATCGACAGTACATAATGGGCATGCGTGCTATCACCGGTTGTTCTATTCTGCCCATAAAGCAGATAGCTAAAACTGGTGCCAGACGCTGACCCATTGCAAGCCCCCGATTTTGTGAAAAGTATTGCCCACTCCACTTGAAAATGTTACAATTTAGGCATTCCTTGATCAGGGTCATGATGTGCACTTTGCTCAATCCGAACGTTACAATCTCTGCACCATGCTCATCTAGCATTTCAGAGAGCGCTTGCAATGCTTCACCATTGTTCACGTTCGTATAAAGCGCAGTTACATCAAATGACTCTGCCACACAGTTTTCTTGAAATCTACAAGAGCGTAGACGATCAAGAAAGTCTCTAGTGTTAGGTAAGTGTGAGGGTACATATCGGATGAGTTGACCAACAATTTTAGTAAGAAACCATGAAATGCGGTCTGTTGGTCCTCCCACACAGCTGATGATAGGTCGTATTTTGTAATCGCTAGCATTCAACCGAGTGCTCGTCTCCGTCCGACAGCTTGTGTGTTTTGATCAGGCTATAAAACACGGGGCACGAAGGAGTATCCAACTTCAGTCTTTTGATCAGTCCTTCAGCTAATCCTGCTGACTTTCCCACCGACATCCACGATGCGTTCAACCTGTGACATTGTGTGAGAAACGCTTTCTCTGTAGTGCGACTATAAATAGACGTGTCGTTCAGATGGAGCTCCGTGATTTCCTTGTCTAGTATACGAGGTGAAACCACGAACTCTCCTCCTTTGTCGCTTACAGAGAGGCGGATTTCATTGTTTGCTACGCGTTCCCTTATCTCATGGAGTCCTTCCCACTGTGCGCGAGTAATGTTAGAGAACCTTCTGCGTCTTGTGCCTGTTGAAAATTTCAAGCACCCCTGAATGAAAGAATTCTATTCATCAGGGGTGCTTGAAATTTTCAAGAAGCACAGACGCAGAAGGTTCTCTAACATTACTCGCGCACAGTGGGAAGGACTCCATGAGATAAGGGAACGCGTAGCAAACAATGAAATCCGCCTCTCTGTCAGCGACAAAGGAGGAGAGTTCGTGTTTCCCTCGTATACTAGATCAAGGAAATTACGGAGCTCCATCTGAACGACACGTCTATTTATAGTCGCACTACAGAGAAAGCGTTTCTCACACAATGTCACAGGTTGAACGCATCGTGGATGTCGGTGGGAAAGTCAGCAGGATTAGCTGAAGGACTGATCAAAAGATTGAAGTTGGATACTCCTTCGTGCCCGGTGTTCTATAGCCTGATCAAGACTCACAAGTTATCGGACGGAGACGAGCACTCGGTGAATGCTAGCGATTACAAAATACGACCTATCATCAGCTGTGTGGGAGGACCAACAGACCGAATTTCATGGTTTCTTACTAAAATTGTTGGTCAACTCATCCGATATGTACCCTCACACTTACCTAACACCAGAGATTTCTTGATCGTCTACGTTCTTGTAGATTTCAAGAAAACTGTGTGGTAGAGTCATTTGATGTAACTGCGCTTTATACGAACGTGAACAATGGTGAAGCATTGCAAGCGCTCTCTGAAATGCTAGATGAGCATGGTGCAGAGAATTGTAACGTTCGGATTGAGCAAAGTGCACATCATGACCCTGATCAAGGAATGCCTAAATTGTAACATTTTCAAGTGGAGTGGGCAATACTTTTCACAAAATCGGGGGCTTGCAATGGGTCAGCGTCTAGCACCGTTTTAGCTATCTGCTTTATGGGCAGAATAGAACAACCGGTGATAGCACGCATGCCCATTATGTACTGTCGATATATTGATGATTGCTGCGTAATTACTTCAACACAATTTGAAATGGATGAATTATTCAGCTTACTCAATCAACAATCACAGTACATAAAAGTTCACAAGAGAAACTCCACACAATGGTTGGCTACCTTTCTTGAACACACAGATAAAAGTCTCGAACGGGATGTACAGTGTGAAGTGGTATCGGAAAAGCAGCTCGAAAAACATCTTACTTCATGCAAAGTCTGCACATCCTAGTGCTGTTAAACGTGCGGTTGTTCGAAACATGTACAAAACAGCGGTTGGAGTTTGTACAGGCAACGTGGAGCGAGATGAGTCACGTAAGCTAGCTTCCGAGATTGCAAAAAGCGAACGGTTATGGAATGGAACGCGAAGAATCAGGCTCACAGAGAAATCCCGCGAGAAATCGCGAAGGTTCACGAGGGCGTTCCGCGAGAAGTCGCGAGGAGTCACGAGGGCGTTCCGCGACGAGTCGCGAAGAGATGGCGCACCTCCAGTTGCCTTTCATATCGGATAGGATTAGCGCGGCTATACGGCAGTGCATTGCACGAGCGGGTCTAGCGAATGACGTAGCTTTGATAAATACACCAGGAGATAATATCAAACGTCAGCTGATCCGCAATAGACTCTACGACCGCGCGTGCACTACGGAAAACTGCGTCGTTTGCCCATATGGAAGGCAAGGAGATTGTGCAAACGAGGGATAGTATACCAACTTCAATGTTCAACCTGTGACGAAGTTTATATTGGAGAGACGGGCAGGATGCTAGGCGTTCGCATTAAAGAACATATGGCAGGAAAAAGGCGCGGAAATCTGCTTACTCCACTTGGCAAGCACCGAGTAGAATTACATCAGGCAATGATTTTGAATCAAATGCAAAATTCTAGCTTATGAAAACGACATCGGTGCTAGGAAGATGTTAGAGGCGTTCTATATCCGTGTGAAAAATCCAGTGCTGAACAACCGAAATGAATGCATGACCATAACAAATGAATTCTTGCCTTTCATTCCTTTTTGTGGATTATGAGACCACCACATGCGACACGTAGGACACTCATTGTCCATGGTGTCTCATTTTATCTTGGTCACTAACGAGAGGAGGCTGCTGGGAGACTGGTGGGATCACAGGTTGGTTCGCTCACTGGGATCGTTCTATTTTGTTTTGTTT